TAACTGGCTGCCCCAGGATGCTCTCCTATCTCTTCTGTCTCCGTCGACAGCTTGAGTATGGGAAGCTTAGGTTTAGGCAGCTCTTAGTAGCAGGAAAATGAAAACAACTGTATGTTTAACGTAAATCAGTGTCCCGAAAAGCAATACATGTGACTTAGAAGAGCATTCAGTTTCTCATGAAGGGAAGTAGATTCACCTCTGCAAGGTGGGAGAGGGGGCCAAAGCTTAGGAAGCATGATGGTGGCCATGTGCTTCTTGAGTTTAGCAAAGCAATGGCCCAAGGAAAGCAGTTTCTATGTCTGCAAACTAATGTTATTTCCGATCTTTATCACTTTTACCTTAAAGCAAATTGCTGTTTGCTTATAACATGTAGCTTAAGTTTCAAAACTCTATACTTTTCCTACTGTTTTGTTGAGTTGCCAAGAAGAGCTTTGAAATGACTCCAAAATGAGCAGGACATGAAGCAGGAAGAAAAAACTAGAGTTCTAAATACCTTATCCAACACTGGGGCTTTCCCTGAGCCATGCGTGGCAAGCTGGAAATAGTGTGACAGTGGAGGTAGGAAAGAAGGGTTGGGGTGGGGGGGGCAGTGAAAGTGTTGACCAAGACAATTATAAGTTAAGAGAGACTTAGCAAAAGAAAGACATGTTGTGAAGAAAACAGGCAAAACAACAAGAACATCTGCACTTTGCTATAAGGAGATGGTTTTCTGAGGTTCTTCCCAGTGGAGTTTGACCCTCACTTTGGATAGAATGAGTCTTAGAATTCCCTTCACACATTTGGGTTCCAGTCGTGCAAATGAGGCAATCCTGATTGGTTGATGTTTGATCTTGATTGTAAGCCACTTTTGGACCAGTCTATGGGCCAGCTGGAGGTTTGTAGAGTGGCTGATCGATTGTGCGTTTTCGTTTCTTAAGTTAACTGCAACCGTGACTGTTCTTTGTCATGGAACCAGCAGCAAATGTTTTTCAGCTGGCTGTTCAGCTTATATCATTCTTGTACTCTCATTCTGAGATTTCCTTCCTCAAAATAGTTTACCCAAATGGCGCTGGCCTGATTGGGCCTCATGTTCCTCCACACCCCACAGTGTTTTTAAAAGTGAGACCTCTTCTCAGTTGCCTGTACTTACCAATATCCAACTACATAAAAGGTTATGTGGGGGCTCTTTCTCCCAGAGGTCTGATAGCAGTTGTGACTGGGAGAATCCTGGATTTTTGGTACAAAAACAGATTATTTTCGGGGACTTACACCGCTTGTTCTGTCCATGTTGTGCTGGGGTATCTCCTATTTCTCATTATTGCTGAATTCTTTTTATTTCTACATGTACTGAAAGTTCTAAGGGTAGAGTTTTCTCCATCTCCTCTTCTGGATCTCTAGCCTTTACTCATACAATCTGCTCATCTACCACCACCCCTTTCTTAAAGTAGAGATGGGGTCTCACTATATTGGCCAGGCTGGTCTCAAACTCCTGGCCTCAAGTGATCCTCCTGCCTCAGCCTCGCAAAGTGCTGGGATTACAGGTGTGAGCCATCATGCCCAACCACCCTTATCAATATTAACAACCTGGGAAACTTCTATACCTTTCTGCAGGCTCATATAATCATTTTTATTTTTTAGTTGGGGTCTCACTCTGTCACCCAGACTTGAGTGCCGTGGCACACTCACGGCCACTGCAGCCTTGACCTGCTGGGTTCAGGTGATCCTTCCACCTCAGCCTTCCAAGTAGCTGGAACTACAGGCACACGCCACCATGTCCGGCTAACTTTTTTATTTATTGTAGGGATGCAGTCTTGCTAAGTTACCCAGGCTGGTCTCAAACTCCTGGACTCAGGCAATCCTCTCGCCTCTACTTCCCAAAGTGCTAGGATTACAGGCTCTTTTGTATTTTTTCTTTTCTTTTTTTTTTTTAATTTGGAGTCTTACCCTGTCTCCCAGTCTGAAGTGCAGTGACATGCTCATGGCCACTGCAGTCTCAACCTAGTGGGCTCAGGCAATCCTTCTGCCTCAGCCATCCAAGTAGCTGAAACTATCTTTTGTATTTCTTTAAAACTTCACAAAACGCCAGGCTTGGTGGCTCAGCCTGTAATCCCACGCCTTTGGGAGGCTGAGGTGAGTGGA